CTCTATGGCTGGGAGGAGTTTGTTATTAATGCTTGGTTTCTTTCCCAGGTTTTGTTTTATCCCAGACTTTGCATTTGTCTGGGATACATCAACTAGCAATTTCACTTTATGCCAGTAGTGTTCATGGTTATCCCTTATTGAGATAGTGGTATTAGTCTTGTATTAATACGACCATGTTGTTATATGAGTACAAGGTCTGCAGTGTGGTTTTCACATTGATAAAAATAAGGATATGTTCATAATTTTTTAGTGGAATTTCTTCACATATATTTTGTATAATTATTATTGGTCTCAACTCCTATCTATTTACAAACTTCTTTATTATTTTCATGTGTTACTGTGCTTGTTTCCCTTTTGCAATATCTTTGTCTTGTAGGTTTTTTTGGACAAGATGAGTAGTTTTTGCAAGAAGACTGTGCTAAATGCCTATTTTCTTATCTTCTTTTTTTGGGTGTTTCTTACTTGCAGACCTAGAATATTATTCAGTGATTTTGTAATTCTTAGTATAGGGAACCATAAGCTCTTAGGTTTTATTTTAAAAATTTTTGTAGCTTTATCGAGCATTTCGAAGCTGAAGGTCCCCTCTAAGGATTATATAACCTTCTTTTTTATCAACATATAGGCCTCTTTGTAGGTTTCCAAAAAAAAAAAAGATTGGTATTGGTATTGCAATATCATTTATTATCATGATTATTTTTAGTTGGATTGAAAAGAATACTAAGAAATTTAATTTGTGAATAAAATTGATAAGGATAGATTTACCCTTGAGGGCATCATGGCACTGGTGTGGGCAGCACTGTGGCACTAAGTTCTCTATATAATGGAAGAAAAATGGAGGCTCTTGGGAAAATTAGAGCACTAACCATGTGGCGCTGCAATGTTGCCTTATCTGTTTAATGGATAATGCTTGAGAGGGCCATGGAACTAAGGGAACGGTGTTGTGATTTTGAGGACTTGGGTTATAAAAAATTTCTAGAGATGAGAAAACCTTGGGAGTGCACCATTGTTGGGTAATGTAGCACTATAGTGTTGGGCATTTTTTTTAAAATTTTTTATATAAATATTTAAACCCATTACCCAAGTTTCCAAAGCCTCGCTCATTTAGTCAGGAGAAAATAAGAGAAGAAGAAGAGAATGAAGAAGAGAGAAAAAAAAAAAGAAAGAGAAATAAGATTTTGAGGCCATAAAGCTGATTTTTTTCATTGAGCAAATTAGGAAAAGTTTTCCTCTCCATGTAGGTAATTGTTAGCTTATATATGTTTTCATTTATTTTGATTTTTATATGATTTATGGGTTTTTAAATTGATTAGAAAATATAAAAGATGTGATATTTTGATTTCTAACGAACTTTCATCATATAACTTTTAGTATATTTTATGTTCGCTCATGGTTTACATATTTTAACATGATCTTATTGATATTTCACAAGGTAGTTTTGTAGTTGATGCATACTCTCTTAAAAAAACTAAGATAAATATACACATATGATTGATAAATAACTATTGGATTAAGATTTTATAAAATTATTTACATGTATATTAGATTAACATAACACATATGGACAATGATGGGCTACACATAGCTAATATAGCATGCACGATTAATATTGTATGATTTAATTGGCTTCAACATATAGATATGCACCGATTTACTTGTTGAATATGCATATATGAAATTAAAGATATAGTGTTGATTATTAAACAATGTCATTATGATTTACATGATATTATCTATGCACATAAAATATGACATGTTTTTGTATGTGTGTGCATATCTCTTATGAAATGTGTGTAAGCAATAAAAACTAGATACTGAATGAAACTAATTAATTATGGCCAAGATATGATACGATATCTTGTGCATGAGGGTGGGCTGTTGAGGTTTCCTTTAAATGAACACAATACATAATATGATGGGAGGCAAAATGAGACAATAATATTAATGATTAGAGTGATGAATCCTATATTATGCCACCTGACTATGAATAAGATTGATATGATATGATATGATTGATATTGTATAGTGTATGATACTATATAGGGATGAATAATACAGTCTGATTAGCTAGAATTCTCACTTGATATTGATATATAAAGATTAATGATGCATGTATATGATTTGAGGATGATATTATGAATAGTATTAATATACATAAGATATGCTTCAATATGATAGTATGCATAACATTGAGACATGTGAACATGATATGTATATATGATACATATGATCATTCATTAGAATACATGCTGATACACATAAGATTTATACATTAACACATTGGTATATATGATTATAAGATATGAACATTAGGATAGATAGGAATGTATGATTCCAACAAGATGATTTTGATCATACTTACACATATGATATTGATATAAGAATACTTATAGAATAATATTGACTCAACATAGATTATGATTAAATTAATAACACTAAGCATATTGATCTACTTTTCGTACATTAAATACAATTGTAGGTTTATGTGACCTACTGAGCTGTACGCTCACTTTATCTATTTTAGGAAAGGGTAAGGCAGTAATAGAGTAGATTAAGAGAGCTGTTATTATAAAGGTATTATTCCTTAGTGTTAGATGAATTCTTTTGTAATCATGATGGAAATGTATTTTGATGAACTGATAATGAATCATGATTATTGTAAATCTGTTATTGTGAGTAAGTGCATGCGTATCCAGGATAATGTTTTATTTAATATATTGATAGATTTTGGTAGTTCTGAATATAAATTACATGTTAAAGAAATTCTCTCCAATAATATATTATGGGCATAAGAATCGGTCATGTACTTGACTTGGTATGAGCCATTAGAGTGTATGGGTTATATTAGGTTAGATCATGATACTAGGTATGACCGTGAGCTTGTTAATACCTTAGAAGAGAAGTGTTATAGATTTTTAAGATGACTTAGAGATAATTTGAGGCACCCATTAGTTTTGTTTAGGATCAAATATTTTGCTGAGTTGTTAAAAGAGCAAGGATGGTAAAGAATGATTTGATATCCACTTAATACATTAGGGTTACAAATAGGAAGAGGTTGAGAGGAGAGCCGCCTAGGAGTGGTGTTAACAGGAAGAAGAGAAGGTTTGGGGCTTATTATTCTCAGAGAGAAAGTTATGTTATTCATGGGAGCATTTATATGAGTATTGCCCTGGTGTGTCCTTCCTGTTGAAGATGGCATCATAAAAATTATTATCTATTCACAAGCCAGTGTTTCTATTGTGTTTTATGGGGAACCATACAACTTAGTATTCTTAGAGGTCTTTAGAGGGCAAGTCTAATGTTGGAGAGGAGTAGAGGCAGTAAAGATCGAGAAACCCTATCATGAGCCACTATGGTCTTCAAGCAGGGGTGGAGGTAGATTTTTCGGGTTTCAGTCCAAAGGAGCCCAAAGAGAGTCCATGTTATAGTTAGTGCTTCTTCAACATAGCCCAAAGTTTATAGCTTGGCCTAGTAAGAGGTTAAGGATGCAACTCATTTCTATATAATCCTATAAGATTTTATTTGATTCTAAAGTAAGTCACATTTCCTTGTTCGAGAAATTTCTAGATTATTTGATTCTTATTCTTGTGTTTTTATTATATGATCTACTAGTTTTATTGCAAAGTATAGATTATTTGGATGTTAATAAGCTTGTAAATGTGAGCTTAAGATTTGAAGTCGAATGTTAGAGCCTGAGCTGATTGTATTACCCTTAATAGAGTTTGATTTTATATTGGATATGTACTAGTTGATTAAGTATGGGGCTTATATTGATTTCAGTGGAAAGAGGGTAGCTCTATGTGTTAATGGAGAGATATTTTAATTTTTTGGGTGTTATAGGTCTGTTTACATCTTAAATTATTGGCTCTACAAGTTGATAAGCTTTGGAAGAAAGGGAATCCTATATTTCTTACATATGTGAGAGATGGGCGTAAATCTTTTAGTGTGATTGATGATGTTCTACTAGTATAAGAGTTTTCAGATGTGCTCCCTAAGGAGTTGGTGAGTTTAAATCCTAAGTGATAGGTGGAGTTTTGTATTGAGGTAGTGCTAGGTACCATATCTATTACAAAATATCCATATGGAATGATGTTTAAAGAATTTCAAGAGTTGAAAGTTCAATTGTAGGTGTTTTTGAATATACACTTTATTAAACCTAATACTTCCCCACATAGTGTACTTGTGTTTTTTGTTAGGATGAAGGATGACACAAAACAAATGTATTGATTATCAAAAATTAAATAAGGTGACCATCAAGAACAAATATTCCTTGCTTTATTGATGATTTGTTTGACAAATTATAAGATTTTAAAGAAAGAGTTGAGGTCTTGCTATCATCAATTGAGTGCGAGAGCAAAACATATGATAAAGATAGTACACATTATGAACACTATGAGTTTTTAGTTATACAATTTGGAGTGATGAATGCACTAATAATGTTCGAAGGGGTGTTAGTAAAGTTTTATAATAAATTCATCACCAATGCTCTAATACCATGAGGGATAAAGGAGCTCTTAAGGGAAAAAAAAATCAACATTTTATTTGAATTTAACTAAGGAGTATGATTTATAATTCAATAATAAAACATTTCAATTGAAATAAAGGTTTAACCATATTCTACATGTAAAAGTTAATGTGACATATTTATCATTTATTATATCAAATTTTCATGGAATCCATTCATCACTACATTCCTTGAAAACAAGTCGATCTCAGCCATTGCAAAAACCCCGATCTCTCATTTTGGCTCATCCCCGACCGTCACGCTATTCACTGCTCTGGAGAAACCTTGCCCGCCGTCCCTGTAGCTGGTTTGATGTGACGGACTCTGTCCCGCCGCTGCGCCGTATGTGCCGCCGAAACTTCATACACCGCCTCGACCGCCACCTCACACAGTGCCTCACTCAATCCTCCGGCTCTGTCATTCCCCCGGCTCGCTCGAACCTCCATCTTCTCACACGTCGCCTGTCCTCTGTCACGCCGCACGCCGCATGTGACCTTTCTCCTCACTCGCTTCTCTTCTCTTCTACCACCGTTTCCTCTTTCCTTAGGTTCAGGTGGAATCATCTTGACACTGTGCTTGAGGACAGCGAAGCTTTGTCTTGGTTTCAGTCTTGACATCTTGAGCTTCCCAGGTGATCTTTTCCTACTCCATAAGCCTCAATTTCTATATAAATCTTTCAAGTAACGAACCCTAAGGCATAGATTCCAAATCCCTAGTGTTCAAAAGCTGATATAGTTTTGGTTCGCTTATATTGAATCAGACACTCTAGCACTTGAAAGCTGTTTTACTTCATATAATTTTCTGATGAGTGTCTTTTTAAGCATGGACAGCGATTAGAACAGTATTCACATTGTTATCATGATTACTTCAATATACACTTAACCAAGTTGTCGTTTTCCATGCTATTAACGTGCGTTTGGTTTTTTGAAGTGCCTATTTATGACATCTGAAATAAATGCCATACGTATGATAATAAATTATCCTCTAAACCATTTGATTAGTGATGAGCTTTGATTTATAACCAAGTTTTGGAATAGAAAGAAGATTTGAGGAAGGATCTTTTGTTTACATTTATCTAATTTAAGAGTCTATTTTGGAGAATATTGTTTAAAGTCATTGCTTGATTTCTATTGTTCCGTCTTGTCTTGCTTGGTTGTTGAATCTTGATTTATGCTTTGTCGAGGATAACAATTTTATTTTATTTTCTAGGTTTTTGGTTGTGAAATTGAAATGCGCTTGAATTGGCATCCTGAATGCATAGTGATGTTAGGTCTCAGTCCTATTTGATTTCAAAGTATTTTGAACTTGAGAAAAAAATCCATTTTTATTGACAACATATGCTTCATTTGAGATAGTTTTCTTACCTCTTTCTAAAGTAACTTTCTAGTACAAAAATTTTGTGAATTAGAATTTTTTTTAATAGAAAGTTGCTTTAGAAAGCGGTAAGAAAGCTTATTCCAAATGAAGCCTTAGATAGCCAACTCAACTTACAAATGAATTTCTAGTAACTTTTTGATTTACTTTAGCAACAAAAAAACTAAATTTTTTGAATCTATCACTGAGTGAAATGTCTGAATATGTACATAAGAAATGAGATTACTAATATTATTTCCTTATATATCTCATAATAATCCGTTTGAATAATTCCTTAGGTCCTTCCAAAATTCGACATTCAATGAAATGTTATGATACATTGAGATGGAAAGAGATGAAATAACTTAAAATAAACCCTCTAATGCAAGCCATTTTTATCATATAATAGATGAGGGAAACCATGTTATATTATGGTAAATTTGAAGTAAGAATTGTTATGCTATAATAGTGAGAAAGATAACAAGCATAATTTACTCCTTAACAAAGTCAAGGGTAACAAGGGATTAATGTTTCAAATAAGCCATCAATGATATTAATATCATGCTTAAAGAATTCTGATAATAAGATCACCTAGTTGAAATTTATTTTTAGCACAAGCATCTACTAGCAAGGTTGCTTTAGGTATTTATTTTTGCAATTTGAAGCATAAATTTTGAAACCCCTTTGATTATGATGTGCAATAGCTATGCCTAAGCCTATCATAAGAGTATTTGAATGCTTGCACTCGATCGTGTTGAACCTTGTTAACTCTATTTCCTTGAAAGGATTCGGTTCACATGTACATGGATAACATTCAGTTCATTTAGGTATTGGTCATATTACAGGCTTTGTTGATTTTACTCTCATATTTTGAAGATGTGGTTTGAAATATAGATTTCTAGACTATACTTTGTTGGCATGACACGAATAATTTTCATTTAAAATGAATTTTTCTTGTAAGAGGCTTTGACGATTTTATGCAAATAAAAGATAAAATGATTTAGTGGATTTTGTTAGAAAGTATTCGATTCCCTTTCTACATGATTGCTAGTTTGCTTGAATCGATGAAGAATATGAATTAAAAATCATTTTCTTAACCACCATTATTTGAAAATTATTGCATAAATATTTGTTAGGGGTTGAAGTTTCTCAACTTCAATTATTGTGAAATGTAGGATCAAATAGGGAAAAAGTGTTGGACTTATGATTGTGCCCTATAGGCAAGATGACTAACTTAAAACTGTGCATGCAACATGATGATTATGAATTTGAAAGAGGATTTGCAAGCTCCTTAAATGTGGTGACATGCCTTTCTAGTTGCTACATGCTTCTTAAGAGTGTATAATTTTATTTTATTTTTTTCTTGAAAGGCATTGATAGCCATTTAAAATTACAATAATTTTGACTTTGAATAATGGTATGCATATCATAGTATACTCAATTATTTGTGTTTGATAGTTGTTACATTTCTCGAGGATAAGTATGCCTTTCAAAAAAGTTGCATGACTTTGTCCGAATTCAGTTGTTTGCACAAATGTATTGTCGTTAAAACAAGCATGCAACTTTTCAATCTGATATCATTACTTGTATTCTATCTGCTTGTATATTTTTCAAGAGCTTGCTAGTGTGCTTAATTTTGTTTGTTTGTGGACTCGGTTGCATTTGTAAATTATATTGTATTGCTCATTTTATAGTTGCATAATCTTTTTGCAAGGAACAATTTTTAACCAATAAATAAATGAGCGGCTTAGGTCATTTCTACATTTAAGTTTCATTCACATTGTTCTGATAGTTCCAAGTAAAGCGTGGAGGTTATGGTCGCGCTCGTAAGTGAGCTTTCAAGTCCTTTGTAGGTCCTTTTTGGGTTTAGTTCTGATTCATTTGAAGCAACATGTATTGTGTTTGAATTGTTTGTTTTGATTTTCATTTGACAACATTGATTGATTAATTTCAACTTGTTGTGTTTGTGTCTAGAAGGCTCTTTTTTTTTAATTTATTTTTAAGTTTAGTCAATGAGAATTTTGGCTGCATCTCGACATCACCTCCGTGTAACGGTCATCATAGGGAATGCTAGGTCTGACCTTCATTCCAGAAAAAAAAAACATGTATGGTTTGTGTAATACACCATGGCCAGGCTTTTCAACACTTGCCATAACATGAAATGCATACATGGGTCTAAATGAGAGATTTTGCCACACATGACATTTACCTTCTGGCATAATGAAAAGCATGTCTAGCGCTTATCTACTATCTTGTGAGTGACGCCTATGACTTTTGTTTGCCATGCTAAAAAAAATTGCACAGGTTTTATTTGATGTGTCAAACACATTGTAGCTGGGCTTTTGAGAGGTTTAAATGGCTACATTTTATATCACTGTAAGGCGATAGATGAGATTGTGACGAGAAGAGAAAATACACATTTTTTTCACTTTTTCCCTTTGTTTTTTATTCTTTTTATAGCTTTCTTCTTTTTAAATACTTCTATGTCTCTTTTTTTCTTTACATGAAGAGAGGGGCAATCTTGGGACTTGTGGAGGGAGGGAGTGAGGAGATGACATAACTAAGGATAAAACTCAGTTGGACAAACTATTGTGCGTGGTCGGTGGTCACAATCTTGGGCAAGTTAGTGATAAAGGTCGCTTGCATGTGTTCGAGGCGAGAGGAGGTTTGACGAGTGAGGTTGAAGGCAATTTGCACGAGTGAGAGAGAATGAGAGAGCAGCATGCGCCACTAAGAAGAATGAGGTGAGAATGGGTGAGCGAAATCAAGAGATGTTGTGAGAGTATATATATATATATATAACTCCCACGTGAAGTGGTGCTTAGGAGTGGAGAGGAGCGTTGTGTGGAGAATTTGGGAAGAGAGGACTAGGGTGGGTGTTTAAGAGAAGAATTGGTTAAAAAGGGGTGGTCTAGGAGCGTAGAAATTCAAGATAAGTTGGGGAATAATATTGAGGACAAAGGAGAGAAGGGCATGACAAGAGAAACATTTATGCTCGACAATCAAGGAGATGATTTTGTTCAATGTTTCATACAAAATTCAAAATCATGTCATTTAGGGGCTGTTTGGCAACAAGTGGGATTTAGCCTTAGTGGGATTTAGTAAATCCTATAAATCCGGATTTAGTAAATATGAAATGTGTTAAATCCTGAAAACTGTTTGGTATGCCAAATGTTAAATCCTGAGAAATTGTTTGGTAACATATTCAGGATTTATAGCAGTTAGGGATTTAAATGTGAAGAAGATAATTATAGCTTAAAAATAAATTTATAATTAAAAATAAAAAATATAATGTGTTATAAATTTAATAATATGTTAAGTACAAATTACTCATTAATTATTATTTACACAATTAATTATATATTTAATAATAGATATATTAAGTTATATTAATTAATCTAATTATATTAATATTTAATTACTAATTATACAATTAAGTTAAATTAGATAATTAATTTATGCACTAATTATACAATTACTACCCCTCGGATTTACTAAATCCCGGATTTAAGCCGTAAATCCGTAAATCCGGGATTTACCGAATCCCGGGATTTAACGCGCGCACAAAAACTGTTTGGCTGGATTTAGCGTAAATCCGACTTAAATCCCGCTGTAAATCCAATACCAAATAGCCCCTTAGTGCTCGACATTACATTGGAAGGAGAAGAATGAGCAATTTCCAATATTTTAGCACTTCTAGCATTGTAGAAGTTAAAATAGGTGTCACTTTAGGTTAGTTGACTATAGTAAGTTGTGTCATTATGTGACCTTTTTCATTTTGTTGGAACTCAATTTACATACTATGGTGCAAACATGATTTTTTTTTTTAATTTAAATGTGGGCTTGCTGGCCTCTAAAGGAGTGGAATACTTTGTCAGTAGTTAGACTTCTGGCTTGCAACCTTAGGCTTCTTTTTTTTATTTTAAAATTTTAGTATCAAAATTTTGATTTGTTTAGCAAATATGCAATTGGAAACTCTCTATTGCGTCTGCACCTCCATGGCTACATGACCATGCGAAAAGAAAATGCACTGCAGCTCCCATAGTGATAGTGACTTTATTTCAAATATTGTAGCACAAAAACAACATGGGAAATGAGCAAATGAGGGCCTATATATATATATATATATACACTAACTCTTTCACACCAATCCAAAACTCAATAATGTTTGAGTTCTCATCAGTTGAACAGATATGAATAACGGGTGAATTTATTATTTTATTTCATTATGAAACGATATTGACAACTTTAATGCGTAGTATTTTGATAAATCATATTTTGTAATGAATTTTGATGTTGTATGGAAAAAATAAGAGTATCATTATTTTTTACACTAGACTCATGCTAAATCGGAAGCTTGGCTTAATGAGTCCATTTTGATGTTCATTGATTATAAGACTTGCATGTTTGTGTAACTATGGGAGTAAGCAGTTTATTATTGTAAGCAGTTTTTTTTTTAATTTTTTTTTTTTATTGTAAGCAGTTGAGGATCAATATCAACATTGATGTCATATATGGGAAAGTAGTAACTTTCAACACTAACTATATTTTGATTCTATTTTATAAGCATCTCGAAGTTGTGGCACAATACAATTTTGCGCTTTTTATTATGCACAATGTCTTACAATCATGGCTTACTCCTTTAATATGTAAATGTATAAGCCGATATTTTATAACTGGTTTGTCTTCGTTGCAAATATAAATTTAGAGTTTGGAAGCTAGAATCATTTCCTTATATATATATTTTCTCAACACTCCTTTATGTGTTTAATATCTTGGTAGATATTACTTGAAGAAGTTTGACATGCTCTTTGATTTCTCATATCATCCTTCAATACTCTAGAGTTGTAAAGTGGATGCTCCATAATAGTAGAACTTATTAATCTTTCTCGTTTTTTTAAAGGTTATTTAAAGTTATTCGGTATTCTTTTATTTCATTTGAAATATCATTTGTTTATCCAAATTTAAGCAAAACTAGTTCTTGTACTTTTTTAGCCTAGTTATTTTTGTCCAAGGTTGTACTTATTGGTTCAAGACTAGTTTCTCATTTCCTCATTGACCATCTTTTGCTTATCTTAACTAGGCTCACAAAAGGTATCCAAGATTATCGTTTTCATAATCATGCCTCAACTAGAGGAGTCCGAGAATGGTGATCTTCAATTTCAATGGGGTAAAAGAAGAGGGGTTGGCAATGCCAATAAGGATGTTCAATTTTATGAGTCATTCATCTATGATGAAGAGAGTTATTCTTTATATGACAATGTATATCTCTTCAAAGAAGGTGATAGTGAGCCCTATGTTGGAAAAATATTAAAAATTTGGGAGCAACCTGGGCAAAAAAGGAGAATAAAGATCTTGTGGTTCTTCCGTCCAAATGATATTAGTCGTTATTTGGATGGACATGCCTCTTCTGAAAAGGATCTCTTTTTGGCTTCTGGGGAGGGTGTTGGTCTCTCCAATATCAATCCTCTGGTAAGTTGATTTTAATCTTCAATTTTTTTTGATTGTTTTGCATGTTTTTCTTATTATCATTACTTTATTGTGTTTGTTTAGACCATGCTTATTATTGCGTAGAGTGCTCACAATTGGAGGGCTCCGAAGCAAAGCGGTGATAAAAATAAACTTTAGAAGCAAATATTTGAACTTTTGCTTCTTTTTTGAGATACTTGTAACTGAATTAGTGCTACCTCCAGAGCTTTCAAAATAGCTCTAAATGTACATTAGTTCTGCATGATTTTTTTAATCATTTTTTACGTTAGGAAAATAATCTTTTTTCCTTAACTCTTAATTGCGTTCTCTTCATAATTTCTTTTTTCTTTAACCTATTAATTTCTTTCCATTACTTGACTATAATATAAGTGAATTTCCTAACAATTGGAGCTAACTCAAATTAGTCTTTTTATCAATTTTACAATAAGAAAACCATGTTTTGATGAAGTGCAACTTATTTTGAACCCGAATTCAAAATTAAATCTCGGTCATTGAGCCTAGAATGTTGATATGTTGGATCTCTTGAATTGGCCTGATATGAAGTAATGAATTCATTTTTATGACATTTAGATAACAAGAATAAATTTGGCTTAAACTTTGGTGCCACATACCTTTTTGGCAATTTTTCCCAAAATATTACCTTTGGGGTCATCCAGCTCTAAATTTTAATAGGGTGTAGTTGGTGATAAGCCAAAAAACACTCTTGAAATTATCCAAATATGAACTTTAGGGAGGGGGTCATGTTAGCATATTGCATTGGTTCCAAGTGTCTCGGTTCTCGACCAAAAAACTTGGCTGAATACTTTAGATTCACTTACCGAGCAGAATGTATTCATTTTGAGTACTTTATTTCAAATAGATTAATTGGACTTCATGTGCTTGGCCAAAGCTATGTCTAAGAAGAGAAGGCTCATCCAAACCTCCGTCATATTGTCTAGAGCGCTTAGAGTGGGGACAAGAGAACATAAAAGTGAGATATTTTAATAAAGAAATAAATTCAAACATGAATAAGATATTACATTAAAGGGTTGAATATCATCTTCAATCAGTATTTTTACAGTAAGGCCAATAAGTATTTTTAATGAAAAACCTAGAATATTTGATTAAAAGAAATATATTACAAAATCAAGCCAAAATGTCAACTACTAGAAATCATATATTTAAAAAAATAATTTATTGATCCTCCATGTCTTACATTTGCCTCTCATCCCCCATTCCACACAAGTTTATCCCATCATATAGAGATAAATTTATAACGGGTGAGATAAACTCATTGGGAAATCTATAAATTAAATAGTAGGTATTTGAAAAGCTTTCAATGTGCACAAAGCTCTTCATAGAAAAAATGAAAATGACTCAAATATACAACATCCTCAATCAACACAGAGGTTGACGCAACCTCTCAATGCCATAATCAAATATTTATTTAATTTAATATTTGGTTATAGAACCGACCATATACATAACTTGTGCACAAGAGTTTAGTCAGCATATACATTAGTTTATGAATCAACTTCATAAATACTCATCCTACCTCACACATTATAATGATTTTCATATAGTTTGTGCACGATCACGTTCATATGACAGAGCAAGATCCATTAATAATCAAATTTACCGAGCTATGTTATTAAAAGTGTGCTTTAGGTGCGAAGCAAAGTTATGCATTGCCCGTGAAGCACAAGCTTGCAGCAAAGCAGGTGCGTCGCACCGCTTCACTATGACATTATAGCATTGTGTACTCAAATCATAATGAAATCCTTGTTCAAATTTTATGATTTGATTTAACATTTGTTGTAATAGCTTGGCACGAGTGTTTGCATATTCTCACTATTTCTTGTAGTCATTAAGTTGTTGTTAATTGGTTCTTTTTTCTTGCTTAAGCTGTTAATGTCTTGACACTGTCGTTTGCTAGTTTTTTTATATGTTTCTCACTTGCTCTTGTTGCTTGGGCTAGCAAATCCTTGTTTTTTTTAATCTTTATTTCTTTTGTTTTTGAATAAATAAAATTTGTTGTTATTTAACATATCATTCGATTGTTGATAGTTATTACATAATGTTGTTTAAGTTCTGTTTATTTAATGACTATTATATGTAAATAATATTTGTATATGTGATATACAATTTATGAATGTTCCATACTTAATACAAGTGTCTCTTTGCAATTTGTGGATTGACGTAAAAAAAGGGACACTTATACAACTCATTGCGCTTAGCACATTGAAAGCATTGGTGCTAGGTACTTCCTGCTTGACAACATCTTATGCAAGTCTTTGATAATTTCACATCCAGTTCTTTTAATTGTTGAAGATTACATATCACTGACTCTATCCCACAGCGGTCTCCACCATTCCTTACTTCATTTTGATAAATTAACATGTTCATTTTATTTCCAAAATAAAGTTGTTATTCAAAGGCAATATAAACCAAAATAGAGGAATAAAGATTGCATGCAATGCAATCAATCATTTGTTCATCCCAAAGATAGAAAAGTATGAAAGATGTACTCTAATATGCATAAAGAACTTCTAAAGATGTTTTAAGAATCCCCCACTGGAAGTAGGCATAAAGAACTGCTATATCATTTCTTCCAGACATTCATTTCTTCTACTCGTCGGGGCTCTCCTTGCCTGGCTTCAACAAAGCTCATGCTTACACAAGTCTCTCCTCTCGTACATAGTAATTCAACAATAACTTGTGATATGGAAATTGAAGAGAGTTGCTTTTTTTATTTATAGATGAAAAGAAAGTTGATCTTTATTACCTAACAAATTATAGGATGGCCTAACCATTTGTACTATAGGTTGCATTTTTTATTCACAATAGTACAAGACAATGAGACAACCTTAGGAATATAACTATCAAGGGAAATAATCATCCAACTTTAGGCCCCTTTAGTGTATTCCCCGTTAACTGATACTGAACAATGCAAACTTCAGGAGAAAATTAAACATCATAATTTTTATCAATCAAAATTTCAACTAAAATAAGACTCATTTAAAGCTTTGGAAATACATGTACATCTTTCATGGAAGAATTAATATCTCAATAATATGAATATATAATTGCCTACTATTAGCAATTCTAATAGAAGATGAGCCACAGTATGGTTAAATATTGTGAAGGTGTGAAGAACCAATTGAATGATTTGATGAATCAGAATTCAGAAGCCAAGATGAAGGATGTGGACATCCATAGCCCTAAGGACAGTAGAGTTTTATAATCATATATTGAACTGTTTCATGTGTAGGAGCTAATTTATCTACAATTGATAAACCATGATCAGCAACAACAATTTATTTTGCATTTAATTAGTGATTTTGAGGCAGAGTTTGACTTTCTTTAATGATTTGCCTATGCTTCTTATAATAATTGCAAAAAAACATTTTCACGGTTGGCATTAATATGTTTGTATCCTTTCAATAAAGTATCACAACTGGGTCTGGAAGCTTAGAGTATTGAGATTGGAATAGTCCGTTGGATGTTAGTTTAATTCTTTTCAATTCACATTGTAAGCAATTCAATAGTAGCATCTTCCAATGTATAAAGAACCACAAATCAAATACATTTTTATTTTTGTCCAAACTGTGCATAATTCTTTTCTCTCTAGTTTATTTCAAATAAAATAAAATAAAATATAAATTTCCTTTAATAATTATTTTTACCCTCTTCTATACATAAATCCATCTTGTCACCCATTTAATTTAGAGCCTTTCCTGAGAAATTAAAATTTTATATCAGTTCAGTTATACAACAACGTAGTGGCTATTTATAGTTTTATAATATCAAAATTTCAAAAATATAAATATAATGCATGCAAGTCATTATAAATAAGCACCAACCTTTCATTTTAATAGAAATTTAAAGCATAAATGTTTGTAATTTACTAAGAAAAGTAAAGAACATGTATCATTTTGTAAAACATGACATTTATAAGAAATTTATCATTTCTTATCCTTTTTTAATAAAACACCAGTCTTAGGAGCACCGTCTAAAATTTTGTGTAGTTTAAGGCACAACAATTTTCATTTTATTTTTCAATCTTTTCCATTTTATGCATGCAGGCGGGTAAATCTCATCCAGCATTATAAGGGAATGAACTATTCATCATGCATATACATTTTCATTCGTTTCATCTTATATGTATACAATGAGATTTGTGCATACATGGAGTTTTAGTAAGATACTTTTACATTTAGCTTTTATAACAATATGAGGGAGTTTATGCCAAAAAAAAAAAAAAAAGATCATTCATCCAATGAAATTGTTTTAGCAATAGTAACATTATCATGTGAGCATATAAAAAAGTCATCAATCAATGCATTAAATCATAGAGAAGATCTGCAACTGCTATAAGATAGAAATGTAATCATAACTTTAAATTTTTGTAAATCAGTTCGTGTACTCCATGTTTACTTCAATGATAAATTAATCTTAATAAACTCTTCCTTAATTCACAACCTATGAATCATATACATATTCAAATTAATTTACTTACATTTTAATAATTTTAACCTTATGAAATCAAACTGACAACCTAGAAATATCTCATAATACAACATAAGTATATTTCTCAACTTTTCAAGTTACAAACCATATCTTTTCTCTCTCACTTTATTCTCCTTCTTCACACCAAATCAGTCTAAAATAGTTTTCATCAACCAAATATTCAAATATAATTAACATTGTTCATCTTATAATAAATTTGATTTTTTTTTTCAATTTTATCATATAAAACTCTTAAATTATGTTCATGTACATACCCTGTTCTCTTCCTCCAATTTTTTTCAGAACAGCAAGAAATTCACTTCACCTCTTACTAAAATTTATTTTCTTTCAACAAAATTCCTAAAATTAAATTAGAAAATAATAATTACATTTATGTTTCTTAATTGAATCATTGATAATTAAAATAATTAAATTTGGTGTTGAAATCTACCTTACTTGTAAAGGAAGGAGAGAGGAAACAATTAACTTGTTTCTATTCTCTTGCTTTGCTCCTTTTCACTTCAATATTTTGACACAATTTCTTTGTTAGTAGAACATTAATGATTAATCTAGGATATGTAAAACAGTAAAATTTTTAAGTTGATCATATCTGATTTTATAACTTGAGAAAAATAAAATAAATACATTCCAAATACCGTACTTAATTATGTGAAATTGTTATCTAAGCCCGTATCTATATCTGGTTTCGCTCCCCCCTCCTTGTCGAAAGCTTCTTTTGTCTACTTCGTCTACCTCTCCCAATCGAAGATGACTATGTTTTCTCTCTTGATCAAATATAATCTCTCTATCTCTCTTGGTCGATCTCACTCCCACTTTTCTTCTCTCGTTATGGCTCATCTTCAATTGTTCGTTTGTCCGACTCTCTCTCTGTCTCAATGAGACAAACCCCTCCATCTATGTTTTCTCGCTCTCTCTCTCTCTCTATATATATATATAGATAGATATATCTCTTTCTCTCACGTGTTCACTCTCCTCATTCGCATCTCTCTACTGACCCAACTCCCTTCTCGTAGTTTTGTATTAAATTAAACTTGGTTATCTGTTCCTTTGAACCGATGCGGCTAGTTCTATGTTTTTTTTGGGCTTTTACATGAAGCATTGCACTTGTTGCATATTTCTCCCTCTATCTTTCTGTTAGATGCATGAGAGACAACATTCTTTCTCATGTATTTTTTTGTGGTTAATAAGTGGTTGCATTGTTTGCGAGTTGATTTTCTTAAAGCATACATTGAAGAGGGTGCAGTGTTATGATTCATCTAATTGTAATGAGTAGCCTTAAATTCAGGATGAAGTTCAGAAGTTCCATGAACATTTTGAACATCATAAAGCAATTTAATAGATACCTTAGCATAAATCATGTCAACAAATTCAATTCATAAATTTTGAAATCAAGAGAACTAATCTTGGATGGAGAGTTTACCTTTGGCATAACCAGTAATCTTACCTTCCATTTGGAAACATTTTATTATCTTGATTATCAACCTTTTGAAATACTGCAACATATCTTTAGTTGTTTTATATGGTCTTAGATTGAGAACAATTGTCTGATCAATAGATGATAAGATCTATATTATGACTCTTGCATCTTTGATTTGCCATTGAGCCCATTTTGAAAACTTAGTAATGGTGGGATCACTGCCTTTAGTGTGTCTTCATAATTCTTTTCTCATGAAAAATAGTCGAAATTGAAATTCTGGGTATAGGAATTTTACTGATAAAGTGTACACAAATAATATCCAAGTTGTTAGTTAACATGACTTTCTTAAAAAATATTGACATAAGCTGGCTGTTAAGATGGTAGTTTGAGTGAAATTATGAAAGTTTTGGTTTTAAAATATATAGCATCTAAAGATCACAAAGCATTATGTTTTGAGTGGCAGGTATGGTGCTGAAGACTAGTGCTTTGCCGAGATCTATATGGTAAGCCTGATGCTAAATATTTGTGTTGTGAATGCCGGATTGGTTGCTTATTCGATGTTGTTGAGATGTTGCGCTACTAAGAATTTTGTTGAAGACTTTGTCGAAGTCGTACGTGACAGGATTTTTCTCTCCCAAAGATGTGAGTAATTGAATATGGTTTGATGTTGATATTTTGAAGACAGGCGTGACTGGATTGATCACTTTTGAAGAAGGGTATTGTGAAGATTTGCTATTGACGCTATGCTATGGCGATGCGTGTTGAAGTTGAGAAATTCAAGATCGCGTTGGAGGATGAGCGTTGCATGGTCTACCAAAGATGAGCGCTTGAGGGCAAGCTTGGGAAGACAGGCTATTGTGGGATATGAGGTTGATGTGATGGCCACTCTAGTGGATGGCTCTGATATCATGTCAATTGGATTCATTGCTGTCATACAGATGGTTCTCATCTTTATATAGAATACAACAATTAAATCTGGCCTAATAAGAAACCTCTAGCTGAATTTCTAAATGTAAATATTTACATCTATACTATTTAATTACACAATATATGTAGCCTTAATTATATAGCAACACTATATGCATTATGGCATATATCCAACTGCTAGCATCCTTTTTTGAAATTTGAAGTTTGAAAAAAAATATTTTTTTATTTAATTTGCATTATCTTTCAGTGTTGTGCTGTTAAAACAAATGGTATTTAAAGGGGAACCTTTCCAGGCTTTTTTGCATTACAATCCACTTGAACACCCTTTTCATCTTCATCATCAGAATAATTGGAAATCTCTATTTTGACATTCATGGCCAAATGGAGGTGCCATTTAAAAGATGAACAACGTATACATTTAGAACCACATGTGGTTGCTACACAATTTCCTTTGTTAGCTTTATTGACAATACTATACTTTTAAGATTATTGATGCACTAGATTGTTTGCAAATGTGGAAAAATTATGTCCGACTTGTGAAGTAAACTTGTTCAAAGTAGAGGTTTGAATATTTTTTCATCCAACTGCAATTTGAAATGGAACTTCTATATTTGCGTGGACTTTGTCAACATCTCTCGTTGTGTATTATTCCTTATCCGATATTTAAATCTAGACAATGTTGTTTAAAATGTATTCATGCTTTCAGAAAATAGTTTTGATACCTTGTTTTGAGGCAGGATGTCCATCTATCAAATTATCCTGATATGGAAGTGAAAAATATTTTCTCTTTTAAGTTTTATTTTTATTTATTAGCAAGTGACAACATATTCTAATTCATTCTTGTTTTTTTTCCTATTTAGCAAATAAATTTTCACTTCAACATATATAGTTTTCCAATAAAAAAATTATTCATGTAATTAGTCCAATCAAAAAATACATGTATGTGTCTTTCTTGGCATCTATCTTTACCAGAAATGTTTTTGGTATAGTCATGATTCTATTCGTTACAATGAGGATTCCAACCATCAATATATTGTTGCCTTGCCCCATAATGATGGGAATGATCTTGATTGAGTCATAAACTTGACTTTAATATGTATTTGATGATCAAAATCAACTTCTTGAGAACTATGTGCATCTTAATTAAAGGTGCCTTTTAATTTGTTTCTAGTTATTGTTCGGTTTTTGTAGTTCAAATTGATATTTTGTGAACTATTTTTTCTAGGCACAAAATGTTGTCCATTTAAAAAAATATATATAAAATTGAGGATGCTCAGTTGGATGAGTGCCTGAGTGTCTTTGCACTTAGAGCCATAATGCAAAATGAGTATATACATGTAAAGGTTGGATTAGCTCTAGTGGCAGATAAGTTAGAGAGAGTCGACTTAGATTGTTTGGTCACATAAAATGTCGGCTATCTGATGACTCTATTGTGAGAGTAGATGTATTAGATCCGGTCTATGTTAAGAAAGGAAGAGATATACCTAAAAGACTTGGTTAGAAAGTATTGAAAGTGATTTTTTTATAAGATTTAAATGAGAATTTGACTCTTTTTATATTACAATAGAGAAAAATGATTTATGTAGCTGACCTCACGAAGTGGGATAAATGTTTGTTGTTGTATTTTCTTAGATCTCTAAAATTTCGGCCCTTTGTTAATTTGTAAGATGAATTTTATATGGCATCCTAATTCTAGTTTTCAGTTTAATACAACCCAAAACTCTGATTTCAATTTGATGGAGAGCACTCTAGGGTCTAAGGCTTCCTAATTTAATTTAATGTTTTGGTATGGTATGGTATGAGCAAATATGGCATGTGCTAGGCTTTTGGATTTATCCTTATTCTTATGACTACCTAATATATGCCCCTCTAATTAGCTTTTTGATGTTATGAAGTTGTTTAATTGTTACAACTTGTACATATTTATCTCTTATTCTTTTTTCGTAGTGAAATAAAAAAAAAACATGTGCACGATCAACAAGGATATTTGAGCATACAATCTATCACTTCTTCATTTTTCTTAGTTTCTTAAACTTCTTATTATCTTTCTTTATGTTTTTACTTGTTAGAAATTTAATAAATAATATTTCGGTTATTAAGCTTTTCTATGCCAATTTGATTTTTTTTTTTTATTACTTTAGTTCCTTTTTTATTTCGTTTTCCTAAGTTGTTCTAATTGATTAATTGCCATTTTTAGTGTATTTTCTTTGACAGATGATGCAATATCAACTAGCTTAATTGATGTTGGTTTAAGAAGTTGATAAACCTTACATTAAAGTTATTATATTTTTCGTTCATATAATTAATAATTAGTATGCAGAATGTGAAACAAGTATATAAATAAAAATGTTGGAAAAGCTCTAGTGGCAGATACAAATAAAGATAGTGGCTAAGATGATTTTGTCACATAAAATGCCTGCCTTCTGATGACTCGGTTAAAAGAGTAGAGATGTATTATATTTGATCTATTTTAAGAATGGTAGAAGTAGGCCTAAAAAAACTTGGTTAGAAACTATTAGAAATGATATTTTTTTCTTTGATTTAAATGGAATTTGACTCTTAACAAGACAAAATGGAGAAAAAAATTCATGTAGCCAAACCCACAAAGTGGAATAAGGACTTGATGTTGTTATTGTATTAATTAATTAATATTCAGTTGATTTTTAGCTGATATTAGTAATCATTGTATTTATAAGTGGAATTTTTGTTACAATATTGTGGTCAAATTAATAAGAAAATTGTTTATCAATCGTATCTCATTTTGAACTACAACTTGTCAAGTGCTTATATTGGTTTTTGTTTATTATGGTCAGGTTTTATATGATTTATCTGTCTATGAGTTATCTGGTACTTGTAAATTGATTAGTTTTTCATTTAAATATGATTTATTTGATTACAACTTATTTGATTACACACGGCTGTTGTCCTCTAGAAAGTATTTCATTTAAATATGCTTTTGTGTTTATTTTCATATTTTTGTTATGCTAATGTAGTTGTGTACCATTATAAGACATTAAATAACTTGAGATACGGTTGCAGGAAGCTATAGCTGGAAAATGCAGTGTCATTTGTACGTTACGAGATGAGAGGAATCCACAACCATCCAGCATTGCAATTGAAAAGGCTGATTTCATATTTTCCCGGTTCTTTGATGTTGGGAGTTGTACAGTGTTAGAAACACCACCAGAAGCAATAGCTGGAGTTGAATGTATTTCACATTTTCTGTTTTTTTAAACCTACATTGTAATCTTTCTTGTCTGAACCTTTTTTTAATAATCTCAGTGAAATATCTTCTAAATCATCCCAAGGACCAGAAGCCAGAACATTCTGTCAAACTTGAAGTAGTTGATTCAGGTGCCTTCGATGACAGTTTTATCAAGAAGTTGGGTCCAGTTAATGATTTAGCAAAACTACGGCTTGATGCACAGATTGAATCTGATCCTGGAACAAAGAAACCAACCATAAAATCTGAGGATCTTGATTATGATCTTCAGAGAAAAGCGAGACCAAATGATGGCTTGATGAAACATACATTTGATGATCAGGAGACGAGTGATTCGAGTACTAGGAAGCGAAAATATGTATCTGATGAAGATAATCAAGATGATGATTCAGTTCAGGTGCCAAAGGTATCATCTCAGCTGGCAGAACTTGCTGAGGCTAAGAACAACTCTCTGGATGTATTGCCGCTGAAACCAAATTCTGCTGCATTAGTAAGTTACACACGTTTTAAAATGCGTCTACTTTCACAGAATGTTGATTTTTTTTATGCTATAACTTTAATTTTTGTAATATGTACTCTGATAATATAGAATGGTCCAGTTATTATTGAGTATCTTAATAATATTAAATATCATGAACTTGAAATACCTTTAGCTTATTATGAGAATTTTATTTTTCCTCTGAACCTTTTTTATAGACTAGTTTATTTTGAATTAGTAGGTATCATGAAGTACCTTTTGGCTTATTATTTGAATATTATTGTCCAGTTAACCTTTTCTATAAAACTGTGGTCAAATGTGCATTTATCTTTCATATAAGGAGTCTGGTGGCTATATAAGAGCATGTATATAGTGCATTTTGAACAAGAAATTTGAAGGATGAAGGATATTAGATATGCATGAACGGATGATAAAAAAAAGAGTAGATAAATTAGCATGAATATGTACCGTCCATATGTTCCTAAAGAATAATGTACGCAAGCTTGAAATCTCCTTTTTGTTTTGTTTAATGAACTGAATTGCTATATGGTTTTATTGATCAAGCATCAAGAATTTACTGTTTGCTAACTAAAAATTCAGATTTTCATACTCTGACAAATATATTTCATAGGATATTAGTTTTGGAAATCTATAACATTATGACATAAATTTTATAAATTGTATATTTTCAGATACTGTAACTCTATGGCATATTTTTTCCTGCTCCGTTGTTTATGCTATACTACCAACTTTTTATCTGTGACAATATCATAAAATTCATCATGCTAATTGTTTTTTTCTTTCTTTTTTTGGCGTTGACAGCATAGAAGCAGGTGGTTTGCGGATATGGTAAGTACTTCTTTGTCAGTATTGCTTACTCATAAGATGAATATCAATTCAATTATTTTTGGTGTTATATTTGTTCTGATTAACTTTTATGTTTCTCTTAACTGTTAGCTTTAAGTATGTTAGATCTATATTATGTTACCAGTATATCGTGATTACAAAGCTACCAAACTTGAGTTAAAAATACAAATGAAGTTCTTTTTTCTTGTAAAAGGAAAAAAAATGGGTCTAATTTTATTAATCCATTTTTCCTTATATTCTTCATCTACAATAAAATTCCTAATTACAGGGCCGCGTCCAACATAAAAACTCTTGAAATTTGATGGGAAAGAAGTCTTTTTGGTGGGTTTTTCAATGAAATATGGTCGATAAAAATGTTTCTTTGAACTACTTTTTGATTTTCCATTGGAAAAACTCTGGTATGAATAAGTTAATTGATTAACAAATAGACAAAGAAATTTTTTATGAAAGTTAATGCCGGTTATTTCTACCATAGAAATTTGGGTAGCAATATGTGTTCTTTCTGACGGACATTCGCTGTGCTATTTCTATTGACTGGTTATTTAATCATTTTTTCTTTATGCATCTATTGAGTTCTTAAAATCACTTTAATTGGAAAGTTTATGCGCTCCCAAGTATCCAATAAATTTATGTCATAATCATGGACCAACCCTTCCCGGGGATGGTAATTTTTTTGACATCCTATACAAATCCATACAACATAGATTTAAACTTTCATTGTTACAGTCCAAGCACATTATCATAAACCAATAATACAAACATTATGTATTTATCTTTAAGTCTACAATCATTTGAAACTACATTAGAATTAAAGTTTAAATTTTATTGATATAGCAGTGAATTGACAACCACATGAAAGTGATTCACTTTTCTCTTCGATCTATACTATCCTCACCATACCTGTTAACGGCAAATGGCGCACCATGGCACAAAGGTCCCTTTGGAGCCATGGCGCATAGCGCACAACGCGGCGCACACTATTTTGAACATGGCGCAAGCTATATAAAAATTATAAAATAATAAGAATGAATATGAAATATTATTAAAAATGAAAGACAAGCTATCCTAATAATAAAAGACAACCATAACATATATAAGTTCGACTAAGTAACATCCAAATATCTCATAATTCAAATATTACAATCTTTTTAAAAAGATCAAATAAGAATTTAATCTACTCCTCTTAGGAATCATCATCATCAGCAAATGTTATAAAAGCTTTATTATCTTTTTCAACATTGTCTCCTACTTCATAATCCTCTTCATCACCCTCATCATCATTCTCAATAGCAACATCATGCTTAATTGAAGATTCTTTCTCTTTCCCTTTAGATCTTTCCCGAATATTATAGCTTTTATCATAAACACCAGTAGATTTAGCAACACTTGTCCAAGTTAAATCTTCCTCTCCAGCAATAAAGTCATTTTCTTTATCAGACTCATCTTTTAATTTTCCTGTTAGCCATTCATTTGCATCATCTATCTCAGTCAAAGAAATAGGATCAATGACATCACGATGATTGAATCTCCGAATCAGTGCTCTATTATATTTCACATAAACTAAATCCTTTAAGCGACCATGATCCAATTTGCTTTTTCGTTTGCTATGAAGCTGCAATTAAAATATTATTACATTACCATATTATGAACATATATAAAAAATCACCACATACATTGTACAATACTTACATGTTCAAAAATACTCCAATTGCGTTCGCATCCAGATGAACTACATGTTAGACTTAGGACTTTCATAGCAAAACTTTGTAAATTGGGAGCTCCTTGTTCATATGCCAACTACCAATCAGCTGGAAGAAATGAATTTTTTTTTCAATATTATATAATAAATCAGTCTTAATTTTTTTGTAAATAATGATACCTGGAGATCGGGTAGTTCTTTGTCTTACAGCTGGAGGAATACCAAAAAGTCCTTTACTCCTAATTTATAAACTTAATTCATTACTGATTTTATCTTCTTCAGCTACATCTTGAGATAATCTTCCAATACATTGGTAAATATAACAAATCAGTCTTAATTTTTTTGTAAATAATGATACCTGGAGATCGGGTAGTTCTTTGTCTTACAGCTGGAGGAATACCAAAAAGTCCTTCACCCCTAATGTATAAACTTAATTCATTACTGATTTTATCTTCTTCAGCTACATCTTGAGATAATCTTCCAATACATTGATAAAGACCATCAGCTATTTCCTTATCCTTGGCAATATCAGGGTTATTGAAGAAATATTCAGGATTTAAAAAATGTCCCACTGCATGTAGAGGACGATGTAATTGCACTTCCTATCTTCTATCAATCATTTTAAAAATTTGATCATACTTATCACTGTTATTGAAGCTTGCAGCAATTGCCTCTTTTGCTCTATCAATTGCTTCATATATGTAAG